AGTAATGATATTTGTACCACCATCAGTGTTAAGAAAGGACAGCTGATTCCACAGCTAGAAACACAGACTTGTGTTTGAGTTGGAAGATTATCTAGTTCCAAGCCCCTCGCCACAGGTAGGGACGCCTTCAACTAGACTGGGTTGCTCAAAGCCCTGTCCAGCCTTGAAAACTGCCAGAGATAGGGCATCCACAGCGTCTCTGGACAGCCTGTGCCAGTGCCTCACCACACTTGTCGTGAAGAGTTTTTTCCTATTATCTCACCTAAACCTCTCCTCATGCCCTTCTATAAAGTCCCTCTCCATCTATCTTGTAGGCCCCCTTCAGATACTGGAATGCTGCTGTAAGGCTCCCCACATGAACAAGTTCACTATCAAGGTGGCCTTCCCTGTTACAGCATTTATAGAGATGGCCAGAAATCAAATGTGAAGGTGGAGAAGATCTCACAAAGATTGATAAATGGATCCTTGGATCTTCAGATAGTGCCACAGTTTCAAAGTCATTCATCTAATGAAAAAAGGAAAAGGTGGGGAAGAACAGCAGGGAGCCAGGCAGGGTGGAAGAGATCCACTCAAGCACCAAGCTTTCTTTGATGTTCAGTGCTGAGGACTGGGAGCATTTACACCAGGAAGCAAATCACTACATGCCATTTTGGACTGCAGACCTAGAGCAGGTCAGAATCTGAAAACTGATGAATACTCAAAACTTCAGTGTTTGTTTTTGAACATCTGATCACTTTAACCACTAGTCTGCTCACTTCTGTTATTGTTACAAAGGTGCTGGTTGTGGACTGCATGGATAATTTCACAGCAAGAGTTCCAATATAAGCCATATGTTGACCCTTAAGTCTAACTTTATAATAGAAGAACTATTGCTAGGAAAATGTTAGTGATTAGTTTAAGGGAGGGGCAGGATTTTGCTTCGATTTTCAAAAGTGCAGGGTAAATACTTTTGAAGTCCCAAGCACTCAAATATTACCCTTTTTGAAAAATGAAATACAGTATCATGGTATTTCAGTCACCACTAACTCTAAAATAGAGTCCTTCATAAACCAAGAAATTCAGTGCTAGGTTGCTGCCCATTCCCATGGATAATACAGGCTGCTAAAGTTTTGGATTTGAAACAAAAATGGAATCTCCACCCATGGACTAGTAGTTAAAATTTTTATTGTCATTGACTGAAGTTTGGCTTTCTTGGTGGATAAAGGTTTACATACATAAGAAACTTTAACATGAACAATTAGTCAAAATTGGCACTTGAAAGCATTGGAGATGGGGAAGGGAAAGTTCCAAGCCCTGCTTTAGAAGAACTTTTACCAATTTATACTTCTCTTGTAATATAGTAGCTGAGGCCCCCAGCAGTCATTGATCCTTGTAAGATCCAACAGAACTCTGCTCTCTTCCTGCTGACAGAAACAGATCCTGCACAGATGAACAAAACAAAACCTCCACAGCTATTTTTAAGAAAACTTCTTCATTGGGGGAAGACAGCAGAGGGGAACAAATGCTTTTAGGAAGAAGAAATTGCTGTTTGGAACTGATGTGTCTAGGGGCACTATTGAATTTCAAGAGAAAACAAAATTAAATGAAGTATCACAAAGAAAGAGACAGTCATGTAAAAGGCAAAGATGATTTGTGAGATTTTGCAATAGCCTCCCGAGGGGAGCAATGCCTTTTGCTTGAGACATTTAAAATTAGACTGGACTGTGCAATGGAAATTCAGCGTATGGGCTCCCTTGGGACAAAATGGATAAGCCACTGGGTCTCCCTTTGCATGTTCCCTTACTCTTTTGTAACTCTTCCTGAATACCTCCATTCCAAATAATGATTTGTCTTCCCCAGACACTTATCCTGGCTCTCTGTTTCTCCCCTTTTCCCCTTTAAGAAAGGAGCTGTGTTTGATTCATGGTGTCAGTTATCTTCCAAGCTCCACGCAAGTCCCAGGGGTAAGAGCTCATGGGGCTGATGAGGGTAGGAGTGATCAACTGCAGGCTTTCCTGTTGCTGAGCTTGCTGCAGGCCTGACCGTTTTTAAGACTTCCAACAGATGTTTCTGCTTAGAAACTATTGGCATCTTTATGGACTGTTTTTTCCATTCTTCCCTCCCGGCCTGTGTCCCAGCAGCAATGAACTATGTAAGACTACATTCTAGCCTTTTCTTTATTAATGTTTCTGTAGATGCATCTCTAAGAAGTCTCTCTCTCATAGTTTTAGGTGTGCTGGCTTTTTCTTCGACCAAAACACCCACCTACCCTTAAAAAAATTTGTCTTTTCATTCTCTTGCAGACACATACAAACAATAGGATCCCAGCTCCTGGCTTCAGATTCAACATGCGTCTCACTGTTCATGGTGTGGTCTTAATCAATATGCCTTGTGCTTAAAGGTTAACTCTTTGCTACAGAGCTGCCTTTATTTGTCTCTTGCTGCTGGTGCTTAACAAATAGTAATTAATAATAAGTAATGGAAAGAGATTTAGAAACTGCAGCTAGAGTTCAAAACGGCTCCAACAAGCATCATCCCCACCTGGCTTAGTGGTTTAGCTGACAGTTATTAGAAAGGAACAAGTTTCAGACAGTCTTGAGTAGAATAAAAGCACTGGGCTGGTTTATTTGCACTGCTGATAAGCACTTGTAATCCCACAAAATATGTGGTGTAATGTGTGCAGGGCACCTGGTGCAGCCTGGGTAGACTTAACCCTTTTACACTGTACAGCAAAAATTCAGAGCTCAAAACTGGCTAGGTTAAGTTTCTTAAAAAGATGATGTAAATAATAAGTGCAAGACTGCATGCAGGTTAGTTTAACTCAGGAGGCAGAGAAACTTTCTGTGTTGGAAAATTTGGCATGGCACCACCAGACCACTATACTTGATTTCAGACATACTGTAGTAGCAGAAATAAGCTGTTTCCTTCTTTGGGAACACACTACTAGAGGGAGACAGAGGAGTCTTAGCCAGTGTACCACAGCCAAATGTGGGATTTTCATGCAGGCCTATGTCTAGTTACTGCAGCAAAGGGTTGCTGTAAAGCCTCTTGATGCACTTAGCAATTGAATTCCCACTGGAAGGAAGCACATCTTTGCCAATATAATGCTCTCATTGTTCACCACCTCAAACTCTTTTCATGACTGTGCTGCTCTGACAAGGCACGTTATTGCAAGTGGTCTTCTTGGCATTTTACCCTCCCATGAATTTAGTGCTGATATAAAGTTGCTGTGTAGATTAGTTCCTTTTATTTACAGTATAGGTATAGTTCTCCAGTAACAGCCAAGCAAGTTCACATTGTCCTACCCAGCTGCTTCTGCATTGGTTTTGCAGGGCTGTGAGGGCTAGGGAAAGACTCAGTCCTTTCTTGGCTTCTTGTCTGAAACTGTCGAGCAAGAGTGCAGCAGTACTGGTGGGTCTGATGTGGATTTGGATCACTGAGGACAAGCTGGACTGGTGATCTGGCCAATGGAGTCCCGCTCCAGAGAGAGCAGAGTGCAGTATTGTCAGTGCAGGCACCGGATGTGCCTCAGCTGGCCTGGGTGGCCTGGACTCACAAGAGGGTTCAGCCCCCACTGAAGTCCCCTGTATTTTCCATTGTGAAAGTAGAGTGATGAATCTCACATAATGAGAGCTGAATCATATATACAGTAGAAGAGTATCAGTTAAGCTTTAATTGTCCCAGCCTTTTTGTGTCTTTGAGTAGAAAACCATACTGTAAGGATTGCTGGGTCAGCCAGTCCAGCATCTTTTGGCAGTACCTGCATTTGTGAGGGAAGTGCATACAGTAGGCACTATGGTAGACAGGGATTCTTTAAGGCTTTTCAGTATTTATTTACTGGAAGATAAGCCATTACTGATGTGAGCAGGTATTTCCCGTTTTGAACAGGGAGTGCCATTGCAGTTGTCAACATTTTGTTGACTTATGTAAAGAAGACAGAGACTAGGGCTCTGTGCCTTAGTGTCTTCAGAGAGCTTGACATTGCACAAACATCTTTGATGAACATCCTCACTGCTGCCTGGTCTTGCTGTTACTGTTATTTTTAAAACCTAATGCTTTACTGGTCACATAACAAGATGGAGAGCAGAGATCTGAACTCATGAATCCCTGTGCTTGCTCCGTTAGACTGTGCTGTTTTTCTTAGGAGAGTTTAATTCATTTTTGGATCCAGGAGAGCTAAGAGCCAAGCTATGAACCATTATTCACTAACAAAAATCTGCAATAATAGCAAATGGAGCATGTAAGCTGCCTTGCCAAGGAACTTGATGCTCACTTTTCTCAGAGGTCTCTGTGCTGAAGGTCTCCCCAGATCTCTCCCTGTTAAATACAAAACCTTGTCACTCCCCACGGCCCATGACTGATCCCCTGGCTAATGGCTTTTTGCCAGCCCTGTTTTGTATGGTTATATTGTTGTCTGACACTGCATTTCTACAGTTCAGTTTTGTTTCTTATAGTCTTAGAAGTGGCCATTTTTATTGTCAATAAATACATCTCTTTGCCCAGTACACAGTATTCTCCTGGCAGCTTGGTGCTCAGAGACTATAGGGAGCTGTAAACAACACTGTTTATACTTTTCTTCTGATACCAGACATTAGCATATAAATAGGGGAGAGATTTAAACAGGCTAAAACAACCCCAGCCTTGCCTATTGGGAAGGGTGGACAAGCTGCTTTTCACTCTCCTTGCCAAGGATGTCAACTTTTCTGTGGGACTATTGCAAGAATGAAGGGCTTAAAGAGATGGGGAGCTTTCATCTGACAAAAGAAAGGTCGATGAGCCTTAGAAATGCAGAAATGGACTGAATAACAGTCTGCCTGTTGGGATTTCCCTGTGAACCCTGTTGGTGTTAGTGTGGGGCTGTGGAGGGTGGGAAATTACTTACTTAAAAATTGTCACTGAGCTTTTGCATGAGAGTTTCCTTTAAAGGAGGACTTACAGTAAAGAGTTAAAAATATGGTAACTGCACCTGGAATGAGCATATCGCTTCAGAAAAAGTTATTTGATTTACCGAAATATATCATGTGACCTTTAGCAATTCTTTTAGTTGCACTGTATTTCAGAAACGTGGTACAGCCAAATACTAAATCCAGTAACCTCCCATATCTTATCTGTCTATTGAATTACTAAAATTCCTCTCACCTTTGGCACCAGTGAGAGAGAGGCACGAATGCTGCAGGTGCTGTCAAATGGCTTGAGTCCTTTCTTCTTGCAGTTGAAGTTTTGTTTTATTTTTCATAATAGCACATGTAAAGCAGGGTTAACAGAAGCATAGAGACAAGGGGGAAAACAGGTTCTCAAGTTAGGAGTCCTTTGGAAAGCAGAGACCAAGACAAGGAGAAAGGAAAACCAGAGGTGATGTTTCCAAGTGAGAAAGAGATACTGTGGGATTTTAAAGAAAGCTGTCACATGAAGAGTGAGGGTGAAACTGTGAAACAGAACCTATCTGCGCTTGGGATTTGTTATGGGCTTTGCAGATGTGCCTCAGCAGCACACAGACCTTTGGAGATAACTTCCATTTCAGGGCTGGAGAGCTTTGGATGGAGCCACTTGTCCCATTCTCCTTCATTCTACTGGGAGGAGGAATCCTTGCGATGTTTTTCCTCTTTAGGAGCAATGAAATTCTACACAGAACCAAGAAATCCCCATTATTGTTTTGTACCATCACATTTCTGCTGTCTCTGAGAAAACAAAAAAAAAAAAAAGGTTTCAAAGTAACATTCCCAAAACTATGATTTGGTTGCAAAGGTTGCTGCAGGAGTGTCTCACATAGCCGCCATAACTGTGGCAGTGAGAGGGGCACATGATAAAGAGGAGGAGATGGGAACTGAACTGGTTTCTACTCTAGGCTTTTTCCTAGAGCTTTTCATTTGTCACATCTGTGTTCGGCCCTCCCAATGACTTGACTTATGAGCCAAAATGAAGCTCAAGTCATGGAATAACTGGCAGTGGTAGTAAAACACAATTCAAAAGGTACTTTCCAAAACAAACTGCAGTGCACAATGAAGGCTTGTGCCTCTGTGGTGAGGACCTAGTGCAAGCGGGAGGCAAACCTGTCCTTTGTTTGGGGTGCAGGCTGCCAACAGATAAGTCACTGCCTTTGTGGGGGTAGGAATGTCCGACTGCACTCTGCTGGGGTGGCTCTGTGAGAAAAGGAGACATTTCTGTGCTGGGGGGCAGTGAATGACCCAGAAGGGGAGAGGCATTAGGGATTGAGGGCTGCAAAAAAACTCCTGTATTTCAGAAAAGGCCTTGATCACAGAGCCACCATGTTCTCCCACAGGATTAGTTGCCCTTAGATTAACCTCATTAGCAATAATTAGAAAGTCTGACACATTTCCCTGTCATTATCTCCCCTGTATCATGCTATAGAATGTCTTCCTCGTGCTTCTGGCTTTTTATCAATCTGGTAGATTAGCGACAAAGTTTTTTCACTGTGTTATCTCTCAAGCTTTTTTCTCCAACATAAACTGGCCAATTTTAGCCCAGGATATATTGCAGTCATACAAGGTTAGTACCTCCCTTTTGTTGGGCAAATGCGAGATGAAAAGCAGAGCTAGTTATTGTTCAGATAGTAACCTTAATACCACTGGGCATAAAACCATGCTTTGTCTTTGGGTTTGTATGCTAGTCCCATGAGCTTTTCCCAGTCTTTAGTGAGTGTGGGCCAGGCAAAGTGTTCTCCATCTTGTGGAACTCCTGGGCCTCTGTTGGGGTGGAGAGGGGTGAACACCACTGTTGTTCCTGGTGGTCTGAGGGAAAGGTCAATCAAGCACCAAGGGGCCTGTATTCAAGGCAGCATGAAGAGATGGTAGGTGGAGTTAAGCTTGTATTAAATGTTCCCTCCTCCTCCATACACTTAGTTTATGTCATATGCAGCAAGGTTAACTGGAAGCCTGTCCTTCCTCAGTTTGGATGCCACTTGTAACCTTGGCACATCCCATTTGGTCTCCCACCACCAAAAAAGAAAACGTTGATAGGCCCTGTTGTATATACTCCTCTCACCAGAGGGCAATGAGCTCAAATCTCTTTGTATAGAACCATCCAGCATCACATAAGCAAAAGTAATGCTCACTATGTGCTGAAACCCAAAGAATACCACCTGACTCTGCTACAGTATTTGAATAGAGAGGTGACACTGGGTGAGGGTGACTCCAGCACAACGGGTGGCACACAAACAAGCAGGCTGCCCCAGCTGTCCACAAAACAGCATGGGATGCCAGTGGGACTACTTGGTACCAATCACTGCAGGAGGAACTTGCATTCACACCTACTTTGTGGCAGATAAACTTATCTGATCTCATTAAATCTGCTTTCAAAGTGGCTTTAATAGGCTGCATTAAGAAGCCACAAGCATTGGAAAATCAGTGAGGTTCAGAGGCAAGACACTTCGGTGAAGTCAACCTGCAGCACAGCTCAAGTGCAGGAGAACTGATGCACAGAAATGGGAAGAGTTGAGCATGAGCTGCTGCCAGTCTCTGAAGGGTTTAAAAGGGGCCTGATCTGAATGTATGGAATCAAAAGTGATTGGGAGAGCCTAACCAATACAGAGAACTGCATCTGTAATGTTTTCATTTTGCCATTACCTTTCCTCATCCTCTCTTCGTCTCTGCTATTGCATCTCACAGCAATAGCAGCTCAGCCAAGGACTGGCATTTGATATTCCAGTCTGACCCAGTATTTTGCAGGGTGCCAAACAGCCAGAGCGTAGATGCCTCAACCCTCCTCCCAACCCTAACACACAGAGAAGCATCTATGCAAAGCCTTACAAAGCCTTTCAAACACCCTCAACTGGGACAAAGATAGGAGGAAATGAGATCTCTTCTCAGATTTCAAGAGTCCATTTAAAAATTGTATGGTGTGGGTGAACTGGGATTCTCTCTTAGCAGGCTTTGGGAAATTAAACTTACGCTTTTGGGTACTAGCTTTACTTTGATCCAGGAGGCCCATTACAGCTACTATTCAACATCTGACTCAGAGACTGTTGTAGGAGAGCATGTCTGGAGAGTGTTTTGAGAGACAGTGACTTTCTGTGAAGCCTCGTGTCCAGGTTGCAGCTAAACCCCAGCCTGTTCAAAGAGGTGGTCCCAGTTCTGATCACAGAGGGCTGAGGGCGGGTTAGGCTATGGAGAAGTAGCTGAGTGGTGTTTTGCCTCACCACTCTTGCTCATACCTGTGCTGTGGTAAAGGGTTTCAGACTCTGGAGCTGTCAGTCCATCAGCATGCCTGAGCACTGAAAAGTGTGTTTGCTGCAAGAGCACTGCCTGGGAAGATGGCGGCTTGGCCAGGCTGCACTCGGGTGCACCCGCTGTGCCTTCCCTCCCTCGGCACTTGATAAATACCCTGCTCCTTCCCCCACCCTCCTGCCCATTTTCCACAGCAGAGAGCATTCACAAGGGGCCCCTTTCATCTTGGCACATCCCCTTGCTGATTAATGTGATGCAATGTTCCCACAACAACAGTATGCCGGCCATGTAATTAGGCGGGAGATAATGAATGCTTCAGAGACTATTCAGGCAGCAGTGCCCGCCTCCCCGCCGAACAAGCTCCTTTCTCAGCAGTGAAGCCAAGTGGAAGGAGCCGCAGCAGAAATGCCATTGGTGCCGCGCTTAATTGTGCAGGAATCGGAGGCTCTCGCCGTAGAAAAGCGAGTAAGGGCCAGTGTGGGAGAGATGGGCAACTGGGCCTACTCTGGTATCTTGGGGCCAAAGTTTTTGTTGTGTCTTTTCATGTGTTTGACCTTGTGGCAGGAGAAGCCTTAAATGTGCACATCTCTGGCTTTGTACGTGTGTGCCTTTTTTGTTTCAAATCATTAGGGAAAGCCGTCATTTAATAAGCATAAGGCTCTGTCTTTTCAGTAACCCAGAGGCAAAGATGCTGGTGCTACTTAGAGGCCTTTGAAATGTGGGAAACACATTGGGGACACAATAGGCTTATTCTCTTTTAGGGCGCTTTACAGTTAAGCTGCCATTGTCTGGCTAACATTAGCAAGAAAGATACTCCCCTTTCTCCCCCGACTCCTATGTAGTCTCTGAGAAAACAACCAATTGGTTTAAAGCGCACTATCCAAATGCCTTCAGATCACACGAGAATAAAGCCAGCAAGAAGCTGAAAGTCTGTCTGATCAGCTGGGAGCCAATGAATCTACTCTGTCAAAGGGCTCAGAAGAAATTCAGCCCTCTGCTCAAATTGCTTTCTGGATTTTTTTAGCATTTGTTTATGAACGCAAAATCTTTTTAGACTTCATACCTCACTGTACCATGTGCTAAATGTAGGCAGTGCAGCCTGGTGTAAGCAATCGGTAAGACTCATCATAAACTGACTTGAGTAGTTATGAAAATATAAAAGTAACTGAAGTTCTGCGTTTGGTCCAAATAGGCAGAAAACAGATATTGGTGATATCAGTGAAACAGGGAAGCTCAGTTTGTGTATTTATTAGGTTAATTTCTGAGCAAAGAGTTACTGGGGGGTGGAGTATATCAGAAAGAGCAACTTTCAACTTATAAAGTAGAACAATTCATATGCACACTCATACTTAAGCCTGCTTCACTCCAGCAAGCTTTAAAGCCTTAGTGTGCCCTTTTGTCAATAAGTGCATTGCCAGGCAGACCCACTGATCACCCTACTGAATTAAGTGACAGAGTCTTTTGTGCATCCCTTCTTGAATGGCAAATGTATGCAAGTTACATTATTCTATTGCTTAAACCTATTTTCTCATCAATTTAGTAACTAACGTGTATGCTTAAACCTATTTTCTCATCAATTTAGTAACTAACGTGTACCGCATATCACTACTGCACACTTTTGACTCCACATCAGATGGTGCATAGTAAATTCTTAAGCTTTCCTAGTATCTACAGTATCAAAAAAACCTGAGATTTTACTGAGAATCCTTTCATGTTGCAAAGTAATAGTAGAGTTGTGACCAAAAAAAATAAACAACACCAAAAAGCAAACCAAATTCTGACAGGGAAAATGGCTTTTACCACAGAAAATCAGTTCCACTGACATCTTCACAGAGCTGCCCAGTGGTATGCACAGTCATGTGCCTCCTTGTCATGCGAACACACTGCAGTTGTTTGTGCCATGCCATTATGCCCCTATGCAGATGCACGTAGTCTCACTGTATCCCTCAGATCATGTGTCATCTATTTCCCCTGCCTCTTGTTACGTGCACAAACACAGCCTACAGGCTCTGCATGTGAAACAGAGAAGGGAAATAGATGATACGTGATGTGAGGGTTATAGTGTTTCTAAAACTCATGGTCAGCATTTTATTGGTGTCAGGGACTCAAAGGTTAAGAGGCAAAAGAATTGGTATTGGAGGTAAGGAGCCCAGCTGTTACTGTCCAAAACTGAGAAAGAAGTCTGTGCTGAAAGGAGATGCAAATGTTTTCCTTCTGTCTACACTGTTTGCTGGCATGGAATGCTCTAGTATGAACTTAAATAAGTACTTCTCTCATGAGCATGATGTCTTCCAGAGAACTTTGTATGATGTCCTCTAGAAGAACATAAAGTCAGTGTTGGCATTGTTTCTGATCTGTAAACTGTGTCTATACTGATGAGTGCCATTCCTATAAACTGACCAGGCTGAGGTAAAGGTACTGGATTATCTTGACAGCTTCAGGCAGCATCCTGCAGCAGCAAACATGTTCAGTGGGTTTCAAGAGGAATGAGCATGAGCACAACTCATGCAGTATCTGTAAGACCAGCTTCCTCTCATGAAGCAGAGTATCTCCTTGTGATCTCTTTTTCCCCTCTGCCTAATCTGATAGCAAAGTAATTGCAACAAACTCCATTTTACACTGCACATCTGGGATTGGATTTTCCAGTGCAAAAGCCATTCAGTCACCAAGAGTTCAGTGACATGACCTTTCTCAGGGCAACCCGCAAAGAAATTGGCACTTTTAGAATTATATGATGTTGACAACATCTGGAGTTCAGTTGTCTCTGGTAAAAAAAACAGATGTTTTGCTTCTGCCGATCACAAACTTCTCGCCATGTTCACCATTCTAATTTCTGTTAAAATTGGATTCAGCCAAAAAATGAACATAAATTTGCTTGGAAACTGTCCCAAAGAGTCTGACATCTGAACTTTAGAATGTTTTGCAGCTTTGCTTGCTCGTGACAGGCTCTGAAACTTATCCAGATCTCTAGTTGGGGTGGAATTTCTTTTTCATTTTTTCTATTGGCCCAAGTGATGTGAGGACCATCCCAGTGAAACCCTGATACTGTAATAACTAGGAACAAGGTAAGGGAAGAGGCTGTTTGTATGTCCCTTGCTGCTACTATAACCAGGAAAGAGTAATGCAGCCATCTACACTCCCAAATTATGCTAAACCCAGACCATATTTTGGTCTCTTACAGCTGTTGCCATAAGGAAAGGGTAGGCAAGAATAACGATGCTAGGTAGTACCAAGATCACAGAGGTTTTGCTGACTGGTTGATGTGCTTTTTTTTATAACTCATGCTGCAGCTTGTACGGACTGAGAAGCTGTTGCAGACAGAATACAGAGTGTTAAGAAATCAACAGAGTACCAGTTTGTATTCACTTTTCAATTGCTGTGCAAGCCCTTTACTCTTAGATGTTCTGGAAGAGCAAAAGGGGTCAACCAGCTGTTTCTGGACTGTTTTGCTGTTGAGGAATACCAAGACTGGCAGAAGAAACTGAACTAGGAGAAGGCGGCACAGCCAAAGTACTTCTGTTCTCCAGCACACCTCAGCAGCTGGGACAGTCTTGCTACATGGCTCAGAGCAGGTGTGGGAATATGTGCTAATTTTGCTAGGAAATAGGAGAAAGAAGAGGGAGCAGCAGGAGGCCTGGCATGGTGCTAGGCTCTGTCTTGACTCTGCACACCAGCTCTGGCATAGGTATAGTTCTGGCTCTATGCTTTCTGCCCTCCCATGCCTAGCACAATACCAGACACATGTGAAACTCCTGCTGACTCACACTCATGGCCTGGAACAGTCTTGGCTTTGCCTGTGTTTAGTTCTCCTTGCAGCACAGCATGGTTCTTGTACAAAAGTCTCACTGCTAAATGTCACTATCACTGTCCTAGCATCACATGCATGCCCATTTGCCAGCTGAAAACTGTATTTCTGGCCCACCTACTACTAATTTCTTCCCAGTATAAAACTTCCCCACTTAAAAAATGAGTTGGAGTACCCTGGACCAGGAAGATGGCTGTGGGATAGCAACATAATGGCTTTAGACAAGCAAGAAAGTAATCAGCTCTAGGGCAGGGTACAAAAGGGGGACCAGCCAAAACAGACAGCTGTTTTGCCAGTGCTGAGAGCTCAGAAATAAAGGAGCACTAAAGAGTTAAAAAGGTTTTCAGGGAAGTTGGACTGCTGAGAGAAGGGGGGGAAAGAGGAGGAGCAATCCTCTTGTGCACACACTTTCCAGAGCCTCCAGAGATCAGTAAGTCCCAGGGAACCACAGGCTTATGCATAGGATGCTTTTATTTTAGATCCAGTTTAATTTAGATGTTTGGGTTCTAAATAGATACGATTTACCCTAAAATTGATGTATGGTGACAAGTTATAGCTTGTCATAGCAAACAGAGCTGCAAGAAATGACCAAAATTCAACCCTCAGATTCAGCCTAAAATTCAGCCTGAGATCAAGGGAATCTTTGGATCATAGTCAGAGACAAACTGTTTGCTGTGAATCATTAAAATATTTGATATCTGAGAAGGTACCAAAATAGCTCAGACATGCACCTATATGTGTCACACTTACCCACATCTTACTGATCCCTGGTAGCCAGCCTTTCTGCAGTTTAATTTCATCTCATTACCCAAAGAAACGCCCCTTGTGCATTTATTTTGTTAATGAAATGCTGTCTCTATTGGAATATCAACTCTGTAGGGGTTGCCAGGACATATAAAAAAGAACAGCCATAAACTATGTTCATTATTATTGCAATTTAATACTAGGTCTAGTACTGTTTCCAGAAAGCAGGAGAGGGAGAACAGAACTTAACATGTCCCTGACCTGTCCAGAGCGACAAAACAGAGAGCTTTTATTTTATTTGTTTCTACAGTGACTCAGTCTGTAGTAACTGGGTTAAAGTCCACTTAGAAACGAACAGAACAAAAGGCCTCCTGTTAGTGCTGGACATTTTCCCTCTTCAGATATCACCAGAAGGATTTAAAAAAAAAAAAAAAGAAGAAAGAAAAAAAGCCCTCCAGAAGAATGCAGGAAACCACAAGCTTATGGGAATGTAGCAGCACTTTGGAAAGGAAAACACTGCCTCAGACTTTCATCTGCAGGGCTTGTTTCCCTTCCCCCCCCTCCCCCTCCCATTTTTTCCTTACCTTCTTTTAATCTCCTTACAACTAGAAGCATTTGCCAGGTCAACACAGAGCCTGGAGAAAAGGCTGCTGGGGAGAGCAGTTAGGTTGCAGGAGGTCATTGCCAGATCCCAGACAGAGAAAAAAGAAAAGTGGCTTGTGCAGATCAGGGTAGTGTGCAAGGGGGCTTCGGCACAGAGGGAGTAAGCTTTGGGGCAGCTAGAGCTTGCAACCTCATGTCCCAGCGTTGCTTGCCAGGCTGAGGGTCTTACCGGGGTCAGAACCCTGGATCCTGCAGGCTGTGCTACAGGGGGAAAAAAGGTCATTTTCATCTTTATGTGGTATGTCTGGTCTTTTTTTTTTTTTTTAAATGTATCTTAGTGACATGTAAGTAACAAATTGCATAATGTTCTTTAAGATACAAAAAGTATCTGAAATGCTTTCTGCCTTCCATTCTAAGTGTTGTCAAGGCATGCCTGTGTTTTCATTATAAAGCAAACATTTTCCAGCAAGCATTCACTGGATTTCATTAATTTTCACTTCATCTTTTTCCTGAGGAATGTGAGCTGACAGTACAGAAAAAGCATGTTGACATTATATTTTGCATATGAGAATAAGCACTTTATTGAATTTTCCAAAACTTTCCTTTCCCCTCTCAAAAAAATAAAAGAGAACAAACCAAAACGGACCCCCAGACCTGAGGAAAGTTGCAGCTATCTAAAATAAAATAGAAAGTGGAGTTACATTTTACTTCTTATTTATAGCTTTAGCTGTTACTGTGATCCTGGTTTGTAAAAAAGATATGTTGCTTAATGTTGGGTGACCTAGATTGGGGAAACAGCTTGGTGAATGGTGTAATAAGCAATGTGTTGGGAGTAAGGGAGGAATGGAAAAGCATAGCTAGAGCTGGACCGCATAAGCCAACTGTTAGTTTCATTTAGACTGCTGCAGAACCATAATCTCAAGTGGTAAGGTTTTGAGTGACTTGACCAAGACCACATAGCACATACGCAGTTACTTTATTTAGTTAGATGACTGATTCTGTACTGAGTTACAAAAGTTTGTCTTTTGTGTATTCAAAATAAACAGGTAAACAGAGTCAACCTTGCCCTGCCTATTTCATTGAGAACTGATGACACAATGCATAAAATTTAGTCTTTAAAACAAATTTCCATCCTTAATACAATACTAAGTGTATCAGTTGCTTGTAGTAGTTTGTACTGTGATACATAGTGTCTCCTCTCTAGGTCACTGGGGACTTCTTCCATTTCAGATAGTGATGAGAATAAAAAATCAAATGGCTGGGTTTATCTCATGTGCAATGAGTTATTACAGATCCTTGTGGACAAATAATCTGTAAATCCTCTAAATTTGGCTTATCAGCATTTTCCTTAAAGTAATCAAATACAAGTATTCTGTCTTCTTGTACAAAGTCTCCTGCCTTAGCATTCTCTAGGCTGAAGAATTTATGTTCTCCCAGCCTCTCTTCATATGCTACCTGCTCCTACCCTTAACCATTTTAGGGTCCTTCCACTGGCCTTCACTTCAGATTGCCAGTGTCTTTCTTGCACTGCATGCAGTAAGACTGTATACAATATTCCAGTATTTGTTAACTAACACATGGCTAAAGGCTATTTTGTCCTTAGTGTGATCACAGCTAGTCACAACTGAAAGCATGTTTTTAAACCCTGGCCAGAGCTAGAAATTAAGCTCAACTACCCAGGATGTTTTAAAGCCCAGTTGGGACTTACACTGAAAAATTCCAACATCTTGCAACATGTGCTAACTACATGCTGTTGGGCACTCAGAATAGGTAAGAAGGGTGACTGTTCCTACCTAGATGGTTTTAAGTCTGGATCTTACGAGTTAGCTGCTTTCAGACATAATAGTAAATGTAACAGTTAGATTTAGCATCATCCAAGTAAACAGCTGTTCTAACACAAAACCACCTTCTAGTGTGAATGTGCTGACTTGGAGCAAGTTTGGTAGCTAGTGCAGTTTATTACATGATGCACTTTGATCTCATCCTTATGCCTCAACCATCCAGATGGAAATGGAAACTGCTGGTTCATAAGGGAGCTCACACAGCTCTGACTAATGGGTGATTTGAGCATGTCAGTCTCTGCCATGTCACTGTAAAAGCATTGCATTGCTGCAGATAGACAGCACATTCATTTCTTTTTAAAGTCCAAACCATCCTTGATAACGAGCACTGCCAATACCCGTGTTCACAGGGAACCAGGAATGGAGAACATTCCCTGATGCCTGTTTCAGGTTCAGAGCTTCTAACTCCACTTCCTGAGCCTCGAGAGAGAAGTGTTTTTCATCGGATCTGTCTGGTACAGTGCTCTGGAAAACTTCAGCTTGGCCCACGCCCTCCTCAGCCCCTGAACTTTGTAATTTCTCAGCTGCCAGAATCACTAACTGCCCAGTTTTATGTAACTCCAAATATCTGCAGTGGAGCTGGAGAATACACACATGCAGGAAGTCTTGTGGCTTTTAAGCTATGCCCAGAAGTTTGCCTTTTTTTGGGTTTTTTTGTGGGATGGGAAGAGGAGGAATGCAGTGGGGGTACACACAGGACTTTTCAAAATAAAATGGAAATTCTTTCTGCTGCGAGGATAGGTATAAGTTTGCTTTTGAAACCCTCCTTTTTGGAAGGGACCCAAAACATATTTCAGGGAGTGGGGTTGCCGTTATATTTGATAAGTGTAAATATATCAATTATAGTTTTTAAGGTTTTCAATTCTTCTCATTTGTTGCTCTAGGGAGCTAAATCTAACTTGTAACAGCTATTGCCAGTGTCTGTATAGCCAAAAGGGACCAGTGGTTTTCCTCAACCCCAGCTAGCAAGCTTCCCAGATGAATATGCTGTGCCTGGGCTTCTGAAGCCAAGCAAAGCAGACATGCAGCTTTTGTGGCACTTGAAGCTTTATATTCCAGAACCACAGAAAAATGGCACACACTCAGCGAAGCCAGGTGGGGCATGGAGGCTGGCATTTCCAGGCCCCATAATTTCCCTTATTCCCTTTCAAATTGTTTGCAAAGCCCAAGTCAGTTTTTTCATTTGCCATTCCAAAATAAATATGTTGTGGTGGTTTGTGTGTGTGTATAAAAGAGAGCAAACTGGAAGAATGAGGCTTAAGCACTGTAATAACTTAACAGCAAACAGCCTGTAAAGCCAGGGACACCCCTGCAATAAACAAGCATATCCAGACCTGTAATCACAATTGACCTAGCAATAACAAATCAGTGCATGCCTGTGCGCGTGGGAGGGAGATGAGCAGAAGTGAAAGAAATATATTCCCAGAAAAGCAGAGAAAGAGAACAGAAAATCTGAGGTATGGAGGAGATAAACAGGAGGAGTTTGCATTTTGAGTGTGTTGTTTGTACATGTACATCCTAAAAAGATGAAGTTAAAACTTTCTTCCTGTTTCCTACAGGGAAGGGGGATTTCATGCTTCTGCCAAATGTTGAAACAGGAGCAAAAATCAGCATCAGTTCCTCTTGAAACAAAATTAAAACTGCATGAAACCAGCAAACTGTTAACACAGCATGCAAGTCAGAGTTGTTATCTGCAGGCCAGTTGCGCCAATGGTGATGAGCCAGAGGTAGGAGCTACTGCAGTCAGAGGGGGATAAAACTGAATGTATAGCAAAATGGAAGCTTACAGAAGTTAAGTTGTCAGTAAGGTTAGTTTTAAAGGGATGTGGTTAAAGATAAATATCGAAGTGTGCATAGCAGAGCTATGTTAATGAATTGCAGTGACAGAATTGAACTGAAGTGAGATTGTAGATGTGGAGGTATGATGCTCTTGCCATATGACTGAAAAGTGTCAGTCTTCTCCAGGGTTGCAAGATTGCCTTCTTAAATGTGAATAAAATGGAGCGGTTTGTTCGGACAGCTATGTCTCTCCCAGGGAGGAAGAGCGACTGAAACAGCAAGAGAAGAGTTGTGCTGACAAATGCAGTGATTCGTGACCATGTGTATCCTCTGTCCATGGGAGAGACAAATATGTCAGTGCAAACAGAATTACTGCTTCATAATCCTTAGTGAAATTTTTTCTGCAACCCCTTTGGGACCCTGTTGATGTACAGCCTGTGTGCTGCAGGCTGAGTTGTTTCCTGAGTGCACTTAGTATTTAAAGACATTAATAATTTAGGATGCCTGCAATGGCTTCATTTGGTGTGATTGGAGCTTCTGACCTCTCCAGGCTTTAATTCCCTGGACTGGGGCACAGGCACAGAGAACCCCCTCTGTGGAATACCCTGCACATCATTGTATGACTGTGGACTTCAGGGAGAGCCTTCCAAAGGAACGGAGATTAATGCTTGGCAAAGACAGGAGATATTTTACCAAAGTCCCCCTTTTTTGTCAGACGTCTTCACCATATTGATACTGTGGAGCCATAGAGGTTAGGGGTCTGAACAGTGTTGTTACTGCAGCAGTCCTGCTTGCTTCCATACGTTGTCCTGGCTTTAAGGGGCTTGATGAGTTTTGGGTCTCTGACATATAACCCTCACTCAGTGCTGTTTGGTGCGTTCTTAGCCAGCACCAGGCTTCAGAGGGCAACAGATGAGACTCAGGAGGTTGTAATGGAGGTAACAGTAATGCTGGAATTTGCAGCAAAGTCAGGGACAAGAGAGCAGACCATCTTTGGGGGAGGCCATAAATGGTTGTCTAGTTCAGACTGAGGAAAGCAGCAAATGGATGTGTCTGATTTTCCCTTTTCTTCCAGGGCTGAGTGACTAAAGTCTGACCATACACTGAACCTTGCACATTCCAGTGGGGACACTGATCAAAGCTGGGCAGAGGCATCCATTGTGTGGAAATGGGAGGTAGTGCCCTGTGTGTGTTATCACATTAAAGGGTTTTTTCTCTCAAATCAAATTTGGGCAGCGCGTTGGCATAGCACTCCTTCCCTCTCCACCTGGCCTGGGTCAACTGGCTTAAGGCTCTTGAGCTTGGTATATATGTTTTGCACTGGGTACATATCAATAGTGTTCTCCCTCTCTTGAAATTCTTAGTTTTACATGAGCTGCTGTTAAAAGAGTGGAGTTATTTGTGCAGAGGATGAGGAGACCTGAAAAGAAAGCGGAGGTCGAGAAGTCCAGCTTTGAGTACACATCCAGGGCTACTGCGCAGGGTGTGGCTGGAATGACAGAAATGACAAGGGTGGTAGGCTTATCTCGTGGTGCTGCTGAAGAGCAGAGGGCCAGAACCCTTATCTCTCCCTGCACTTGCATAGGAGAGATGAGCCCAGCATCCCTCGGACCCTCCATGTCGGGTGGCTATGCAAGGATGGGGAAATGGGTCTCGGTGTGACATGTCATTACCTTGTACAGTTTCAAGGTGAAGTTGCCCCATGTGCCCTGTGGCTGGGGAGAGGTGCCTGCCGTGATCCCTCCCATCATGGCGGAGGATACTCTGTGCACCATCACAGCCTGCACCCAAAGACTCCCAGCTTTCACTAACTGCCAAGAGGATGGAGCCAAAATTGGCTTTGCTTTATGATGCCAGGTCCCAGCTCAGAGGATGTGCATATATTTTTATAAGCTACACAAATTGACAGAGCAAATAGTCCCAGCATGGGAGGAAAAGTTAAAACGCTGTCACCTCATTTTGACAAAAAACTCATCCATCATATGGAGAAGTAATTAAAAAGCATGGCAATTAAATACATGCCAGCAAGTATCTTCAAATCCTAAGTCACTTGTGCCCAAAATAAGCAGTGCCTGTGCACATTTGGAGGAAAAGGTAGTGCGTCATGTTTTCTTCTTTCACCTTGTGCAGCCTCCAAGTGCTGTTCAGCCAACTTGCTTCTTTGGACTTCCTCATCAGAGGCAAAGGGTTAATTTCAGGAAAAAAGAGAAGTTCTTTCTCTCTGGATGATAAAAATGATGAGGAAAAATCGCAGTGGCTGTACTGGGAGTGAAATTGTTGTGTGCCAGCCTTGCATCCTGGAAATCAGCACTTTCATAACCAGGACCTGTAATATCTTAAGTGGAGAGGTGATATTCCAAAACTGCAGATAGCGCATTCTTGTGAAATTTAGCAGCTGCCCTGGGAAAGGTCTTCTGTAAATTTCCTTTTTTATTCCCTTCTCCTTGTTGTTATTTGGTTTCTGTTTCTCTTTCTGCAAAAGATGAAACAACAGATTTAGAGCTCTTTTTGAACAGTCAGATAAGTATTCAGATTTTTAACTTGGTTCAAGTAGCATAATAATGGGTTAAATCAAAGCACACACAAAACCAAACACCCCTGTGTTCTAGGAAAGCTTGCTTCCAGATCCAAACATCATATCTAAATTAAATTGTTTCCCTGCTGCAAGCCAGAAACCATGGTGAGATAAATGAGATCAGATGGGGAAAAAAGGAGGCCTGAATTTATAGCAGAAAATTTCTCAGTGTAACAGTGTATCTGTGGCTGCCCTGTCAAGGAATGAAAGAGAGGAATATTTCTGTCTACTCCCACTTTACAGCTGGCTAGGTACACTAACATTTGTGTTCTTCTGAAAGAGTTGACTTTCGCTGGAAGCAGGGTACTGCCATGATCTGGTATGAAAAGTCTGTGTTCCCATCTGCCTGGCCTCTCCTCCTGAGCAGATCTGACATAGCTTTCAGGTAAAATGCTGCCTGCCTTTGCTGTCTTTTGCTCAGTTACTAACAATGTAGGAGCTTGTATAGGAGCTGATAGGAAGGCCTTGAGTCTCACTGTGGCCAAAGTCTCATGCAATTGTAGAAAGCAGACTGTATGACAAGGTGTACAACAAGGCCAAACTGCAGGCCTGATAGATGGAGTAGATGGCAAGGGAGAGGGAGAATGAACCTACTATGTGTTTGGCCTGTGAAAGCTCACATAATGAGATTGGAATTTAAAGGAATATGTAGGTGATTCCTGTCAGAGGCCTTGGTATGTGTATGGGATGTTATGAACCCCTCTGTCCCCCGGCCTTCACCAGCACCTTCTCAGGGTCACAGCAAGCCTGAAGGAATGCCACCACATATGCCCACTTCAGCCCAAGTGGACATACATGGTGGTCTTTATTCCCATTACAGCAACAGCAAGACTTGGAATCATGTGGTAGGTCTGGTTGTCTCTTGTGACTGTTGTATAGGGGTGCAACTCCATTACTTGCAGAAGATCCACTCTTGACTTGTGACTATGTGTGAAAGAGGAATTAAACTGAGTAAGTCCATGGTGGAGCAGAGCACACAGGTGAGGGCTTCTGACAGCCTGGCACAACTGTGCTGTGTCTTTGCAATGTTTCTTTCATTTGTACTGGAAAAGATGCACACGTGTTGCAGCAAGCGAAACGTCTTGGCAGTGGTTTCACTTCCCTTGCACTGCTTCAGCTGGCATCTCCTCTCTGAGCACAGCTTCTCCTTGCACAAGAAACCACAAGCACGTGGAGGCTGCGCTGCTGCAAGCAGAACAACGCTGTCGCATCAGCTGGTGTGAAGCAGGGAGCCCTCTGCTCCCCCTGCTCCCTGGACAGACACTGTCAGCTGTCTGTTCCTCCAGGTTACCATGAGCCCAGTCCCTGGGTTTCCCAAAGCGCATCTTAAGTTTCTGGCAGGAGGGCTTGGAGGACCCAGAAGCAGACCTTCTGCCTGTTCCAGCAGCAAGCCATCGTGCCTGCCTAGCACTGACCTTCCCTGCCCTTCGGCCTCTGCCCTCTCCTCCCGACCTTACAGGATTATTCCTGCTGTGCCTTCTCCAGGAGAAGGCCCATTGGCTGCTGCTTTAGTGTCCAGGGTGACCGTGAGAGGAAAGAAGAAAACCCTCCTCTGATGACTTGCTTTTGTGGAGGGCAGTAATCAATACCTGGGGCACTCTGCTGAAGTGCAGTGGAAAAACCCATTAACCCTCCATGCACTAACCTCCCCCAGGCTGCCTTCTTCCCCCCACAGCACACTCAGCTGCCCTCGTTTCTAGTCTGGAGGGTCCCTTCTCTGTCTCCTTAAGCCAGTCATGCCCATCCTGCCCTATTTTCTGGTTTTAGCCTGAACAGCAAGCTTGGAGGTGGGATTTTTGCTGGAGTCTATCCTTGTCCTATCCTCATCTGCTTGAAAGGTCAGCTGCAGGTAATGGGACAAGCTGCTTCCTTACTTACAGCATCACAGACCATTGGTGCTGGAAGGGGGAAGCGGGGGGGGGAGGTTTTGTTTGTTTGTTTTTCCCTGAACCATGAAGCTCTGGGCCATGCTGAAGGCAGGATACCAGACCTGATGGACAGAATCTGATCCTGCATGTTCTCTTTCCCCTCTCCCAGAGGAGTGGAGCCTATGGCCCCAGCAGCCTTTTCATGCCCTGCCAGTGGGGGGAATGAGAACTAGGCCCACAAGTTGCATCAGGGCTCTCTTCCTGGTCGTGTTGGTTTGCTATAATGAAAAAATACTCCAAATTCCTCATGAAAAATCCTTTCTTCCTTTCATTATTACTGGGCCAGACAAACTAAGCTAGCACCGGATCACTGAATGGTGGCTTTGCTCTGTGGTGATTTATACAACCTAAAAAAATTAGTTAACTTGGTGTACATTCTGTCTGAACATATCTGGGCATGAAGCAGGATCAATGATACAATCCCAAATGTTTAAAAGCTCGGTTAGTTGATGTGAGTAAAAAAGATCTTGCAGTTAAAGATACTGAAATGCAAAGTGGTGGGACTGTCTCAGACTTGATTTCCAAGCAAAGCTGCTTTCAAATGCAGCAGCAGGTACCTTGAAAATGTGCTTCATTTTTCTGATTTCTGTTCCTCCTCTTTTGCAGAAATTTAACATATGTTCTGGACAGTAAGTTGGCTCCAAAACGGATTAAGACTTCCAATTCAAGGTGCCTTGCCTCATCACTTAGGCGTTAGCAGCGAGATGTGACTAGGGGTAGTCAGCAATGCAAGTTCTTGTGTAGAATGTACTGGTTAAATCCTATTGGCAGGCTGTGAAATGTAAATGAATTAATATTTAGAAAATATTTTGTGATTTTTCAGCTGCAAACCCAGGTATATGTCCAGTGGGTAACAGACTAGTAGTGGTTGAGGCATGAAGACACCCTGTCAAATCCTCATAGTCTCTGAAATGGGAAAATCTATCTTGGTTTATGCCTGAGTTCATTTCTCTTTGCTTCTTTCTCAGGGCTTTTTTTTTCATTCTTTTTCTGTGATTTGGATCATTGCTTTAACTCCTGGGAACTTTGAGAAGCACATTTTCTCTTTTCTTTGGAGTTGGACACTAAATTTCTTACAGAATGGATTTGATCAACATGAAATCAAGGGGGAAATTAAAGCGCTCATTCTCACTATAGGTGCACTTTTGTCTGTGTGGGTGTTATTTAAGAGCAGGATGAAGAATGGAAGTTTGAGGATCCAAGATTTGTATATATCCTGCATTGTCAGCCTCTGTCCTGTTATGTGGAGATAACCTTCAGTTCATTCTCTGGTTGTTTCCCATTTCCCCTTTTATTTTAATTTGTGTTTCAAGTCACAATTTTCTTTATCCTTCTTCAAATCTTTCTAAAATATTCATTAACCTTATAATAATCTTTCTAGGTAAGTAAATGTCTTTTAACAATGAAATCTTTTATATGTGGGAAAACTGAGGCACAGAGTATTAAATAATATAATTATTTAATGAATTTGAAAATATTTCACAACTTTTAAGTACCTTTCCTTGTCAGCCTATATTTTGTACTTCCTTGAGCATTCTTCAAATCAAAAACATGAACTGTGTGATGGTGGGCAAGGAGCAGACAGGGAACATGGTAATTTTGGAGGAAATCCTTGGGAATTCCAAGTACCCATCGTATCTCCAGATAGCCTGAAGGCCATGTTTTATATCTGCAGTATTTCTATGTTTTTTTTTAAATAGTTTTGAGACATTTCCAGATGTCTTGATTGGAAAAGGTGCTGCTAAAGGTTGAAGCCCAGATCACCACTATAAAGGTGTAAAAATCTCATGGAAAAAATCCTAACCTTCTTTCTTTCGGTACTTATGTAACCCCTATCAGCATAGTATCTGACCATCTCACATGTATTTAAAAATAGAAATAACAATAACAAACCCTCTGTCTCTCTTTTCCTTCCCAGCCTGTAAATGAAATGGCTTGATTTGTTCAAAGGACTTTTTCCTTGTGGGTTCTAAATATTTAGCTGTGGTTTTGCACAGTTTATCTACTGTTCCATTACTCCACTGGGGGGAAGGAGGGGGAGAAATGCCATTTCCATTATTTCGCAGAACTCAAAAAAGCCACAGTGTTACGTGTTCCCCCTACTGATTCCCATGTAGAGCTTAACCAACACCATTCCCAGAGCTGTGCATTCATTACTTTATTGATGCTCAACCAGGGATGTTTTGGCAGGATTCAATGTTGTGTAAGCCACGTTATGTTAAGGGAAAGCTGCTATATATGTTAATTGCAGCCATTCACAGGATGGGTGTGGAGATTTAATATTTGCTTGTTTGAGAAATCACCATATCCCCTTGTTAACATCTTGTGAACTTGATAAAGTAACATTATGTTAAACAAGGGTCATTTTTTTCTGTTTTATCTATCATTCTGGCCTCACTATAAAGCACACTGATTGTTTTAACAATCAGCTTGATTTCTCATTTAAATTTCTGTTTTCTCCTTTGAGATAACAGTCTGTACAGCTCCGTGTTTTCAAGATTAATTATTGTTTAAAAAGCACTGTACAGGATTACAAAGGAGTTTCCCGAAGACACTGAAATTTATGGCCACTGTTAGCCCTTTTTCTAACAGGGTTCTGAAGATTCACTCCTTTCACATGTCAAAATTCTTATATTTATCTCCCTGAAAAGATCTGAAGGCCTTAAACTGAACAATGTAATTTGTACAGTCACTTGTGCTGGGGGAGGTTGCTTGTTATTTAGGAAGCAAGACACTTCATGGAAAGTGAACTCAAACCTCTTCAAATTATCCCAAATGCAGCAACTAGTGAAGGTAAAGCTTGATACCATAAAGACGCACATCACAATATGATCCTAGTCCTTACAGCTGGATGCTCATGTGTCCATGGCCTTGGACATCACAATGGGGCTATGTTCCTTAAGAGTCACCATCTAGATCAGCTTTTTTTGGCTGTCATAGTTGCTTGTGTATCCTACATCAGGAGACAGGCAAACCTTAATGCTCTGCCACCATGACAGCAGCCGTATTCTTTCAATGCAGCATAATTTCTAGCATATCTTAAATTTCTTCTCCTCTGCCAGCATCACTTCAACTTTTTCTGTGTTTGACTAAGCAGCAGGGTTTTTCTTTGGCTTTTATTTGAGCTGAGAAATTCGGATGGCTGGGAAACAGTGCTGTCAGTTTCTGAACTGAAGGTAGTATATAATTAGGCATCATAAATGCTCTCCTGGCATTCAAGGGTGATCTGTCTCACACTTCCGTACATGTCTAAGGGTATGGGGAAGATAGCAATAAAATGTGGGCCTTTGTGGTTGCAGAAGTGTCTCTGTGTATCATGACCCTTTAGGAGAAGTAATGTGAGATGAGTCTTGGTCTTTTACATTCACATAGAATAGAATGTTAAATTGAGGCAGCAGCATTTTGTGACCATTAGAGCTAAAGCCTGCTGAGAAATGTTATCTGAGTACTTCCTGACCCTTTCCTTGTAGTACAAAATAAATTTCCCAAATAGAAAATATTTCTCTTTCAGAAGTGTCACATTATTTCCAAGTTATACAATCTAACAGTAGGAAAAAGTAATTAAGAATAAAACACAGTTCCAAAAACAGGATACAGGTACTTGTCCAAATTTATGAAACATCTGACTTCCCTGCAAGAACTTCTGTGGTGCTTCTAGTTCCTTTATACCATTAGAAATGTAACAGTTTCTTATCATCCAAAGAAGGATCTCCTCACAGTTAATAGTTTTAAACAGCTTTCACTGTTTAAGTGGAAACTTCAAAAAGTGCTTTCCTTTTGTAAGTTAGTTCTGCCAATATGTCACATTTTCTGTCCTTCTTTACTGAAAATACTGTTAGTTCGGAAACCGGACATCTGCTGCTT